TCTTTCTTTCTTTCCCTCTTTCTTTCTTTCTTTTTGCTGAGAAGAAAATTTTTGTTTGAATCCATCCCATTTATTGATTCTTACTTTTAATTCTTGTACTATAGATGTCTTATTAAGGAAGTTGGGTCTAACCCGACATGATGAAGGTTAGGGCCTGCTTTTTCTTCTATTAGATGCAGAATCTCTGATTTAATTCCTAGGTCCTTGATCCACTTTGAGTTGAATTTTCTAGATAGGGCAGAGGGGTGGGAGGGGAAGAGAGGGAACAGGGGGTTAACAATGATGGTGGAATGTGATGGACATCATTATCCAAAGTACATGTATGAAGACGTGAATTGGTCTGAACATACTTAATGTATGTTGTATAATGAGAGCTATAAAAAATTGTGCTCTCAGGCTGGGGTTGTGGCTCAGTGGTAGAATGCTCACCTAGCATGTGCAAGGCCCTGCATTCGATCCTCAGCACCACATAAAAATAAATAAATAAAATTAAGATATTGTGTCTAACTATAACTAAAAGATAAATATATTTTAAAATGTACTCTATATGTGTAATATGAATTTAATGCATCCTGCTGTCATTTATTTTTAAAAATTCACCCTGTATCCCATGAATATGTATAATTACTATGTTAATTAAAAATAAAATTTAAAACGCCTAAAAAATTATTTGCGAATGTGAAAACAACAGGCTGAAAGGATATGCAAAGAATTATAAAAATGAAGAAAAGCTTGTGATAGTCTTATGGGACTAGGAAACAAAATTCATAATTTAGCATCTGCAGAAGAAGAGTAGCCCTTATAACTAATCAAAGCTTTCATATAAGATCTTTGAATAAAAAGCTAACTGAAGCAATTCCATCCTCACAGAGATATAAATTCAAATTAGGTTATTCCAAAATAGAATTAAGGTGATTGAAATCTTTAATTTTGGTGCCAGCAAGAGTGGACCATCTCTGGAGGAACATAATGACATTCAGAATCTCTGATTTCTTTAATTTTTTATATACAAAATTGCCCTCAATAAAAAAAAACCAATAATAATACTAGACAAGTGAGAGAATTAGCGAAAAACCAAAAGGGAAAGAAAGCAACAATAAAACAAAAAAAAAGTCAATTAAGCAAACTTTTGGGAGAATCAGTTATTTAATTTATCAGACAAAGTTTGTAAAATAACTTAGGTTTACATATTGGAGAATACACAGAATAAGAAAAAGAATTTCAGTAAGAACTTGAATCTGTAAAGGTTATAAACTGGATCCAAGCATGTTGGCAGGGACATGGGAGGCTAAGGCAGGAGGATCACAAGTTTGAGGCCAACTTCAGCAACTTAGCAAGACCCTATCTCATAATTTTAAAAATGGGCTGGGGATTGAGCTCAGAGGTAGAGGGCTGGGTTCAATCTCCAGTTCTTCGGAAAATAAAACAAAACAAACATACAAAATGATAAAACAATAACTGAAGAAGAGAGATAATGAAAGTAAAGCAATATTTGAAGAGATAATGTATGAAAACACTCTAAAAATGAAAATAGTAAAAAATTAAAATGAAAAATAATAAACCACATTAAAAAATACTATAAAACCAAACAGAACAAGTAGAAACAAAATGAATAGAACAAAGAAAATAGGGAAAATTTAAAAGCACTCAGAAATAAGAAACATTACTTTCAAATGAAAAATAATAAAACAGATGACTGATCAATAGAAATGATGAAAGTTAGAGGGAAATAGGATATGTTTAAGATATTTAAAGACCTAGAATTCCTAATTCATCAAAAATGTTCAAAAGTGAAGGCAAAACCAAGACTTTAGAGAACAAACACCTAAAGACACTAGAACACCTACCTGTACCAACACAGATTTTAAAGGGAAGTTTTCAGGCAGAAGTAAAATGATCCCAAATAGAATCAAGTAAATATGGCAAAAAATGAAGAGCAATTGAAAGGCTCAATATTTAGGCAAATATAAATAGATATAGACCCTGTGTGAAAAATTGGAAAGTTACTGGTAAAGAAGAATTAAATAGGAGGACTTGATTTTCAGACATTGGAAATTATTGTAATGCAGATGATAACTAAGAAATGTGGTACTGTTGCAGGACAGACAAGTAGATGAATGAAATAAAGATCTATACAGAGAAACTCAAAAGATGACTGAGTGGGCAATGTACATCAGTGCATAAAAATGGACTATTAGTAAATACTGCTAAGAAGATAAATTATCCATTCACAAAGTAATACAGATTCCTACCTTACAGTGAATATCAACTCAGGTAGATATTTAGATACATTTAAATTTGGGAAGCAAAACTGTAAAGTTTTGAGAAGAATTTATTGGAGCATGTTTTAATAATGTTAGGGGAAAGAAGAATTTCTTAAATAAGACCCAGAAAAGGAAAATATTAATAAGTTGTTGTTAAAATTAAGAACTTCTCCTCCTAAAAGTGGACCATAAAGAGGGTAAAAAGTATAAGATTTAAGCTTTGAAAATAAATTTTTAATAGATAAAACTGACAAAGGAGCATATAAATCTAGAAGTAATAAACACTTCCAATAGTCAATAGGAAAAATACAATAGAAAAATGGTTATAAGAGGGAAGACAGGGAAATGGTAGGGAATGATATTTGTCCAAATTATATTGTTACACGTGTGCATCCTAGTATACAACTATCATGCATCAATAAAAACGTGGAAACAATGTAGAGAAAAAAAATAAAAGACACAAATGCCACAGCAAAAGATGATCAATCACAGTAACCAGTACAATGCAAAATAAACAAGGAGATACAATTTCATATCTAGTCATGGGCAAACCATTTTAAAGAAAGTGGATACTCCATCCTCCCACACACTGCTGGTGGGGGTGTTAGTTGATGCACTCACTGTGACATTGTTCACTACAGGCTAACACGTTCAGATCCTACAAGCAACCAATTCTTATCTGAGATAGATATCCCAGAGAACCTCATATACATGTACATCTCAAAGTACAAATGAAAGTTCGTGATACCAAAAAAAAAAAAGAAGAAGAAAAGAAAAACAAATGGAAGCCATACAAAGTCATCAATGATATCATGGATTTTTAAAATGGGATTTTATTATGGAATACTGCATAGCACTTAAAATAAGTGAGTTGTAGCTGTGCATGTGAAAATGGATTAATCTGAAAAGCAGGACTGCAAATTGGTGC